ATGATTAGTTTTTGTAATTTAAGCTTAAGTGTGTGTGTGTGGTTTTGTCCTACACAATTCAATTGTGCATATATATGTATACGGTGCTTCAAAATCTTTTTTTCTTTGAGTTCAAAAAACAGAACGTAATATCAATGAACAAACTACTTATCTACTACATTTTGATTAAGCTAATAGAGTAACAACAGTTATATAGGTCATGTTTGGTCAAACTTATCACGTAATAGCTGATAAGCTAGCTTATAGCTTATAAGTGATTTTTGAGCTTATAGTTTACGACTTATAGCTGTAAAGCTAACTTATATGATAAAAGTGTTTGGTAAAATTAGTTGATAAGCTAGCCAAAATAAAAATTTCAACGAGCTTATTTGAAAAACTACCCAAAGAAGCTTATGAGATAAATTCGAGCTTTTAGAAAAGCTCGTCATACCAAACGAAGCTTATTTGAATACAAGAAACTTATGAGTTAACCAAATAAGCTACTAATATAGCCATAATATTTTGTTCCGAATATCCATTTCTTGCAAGAGTTCTCTTCGTATATCTAAGTAAGAGGCTAAAGTGGGAAAAATGATACAAACAATTAAACAATCTTCGTATATCCATTTATATTTCTACACATTTTACAATAAATTTTCAAAAATTATACAGAACAATCTTCTCTAAACCCAACATTCCCAAACTTTACACTCAGAAAAAACATCCAAATTAAAGATCATGCACGTTATCAACCAGTCATTTGTTTTACAAATAGCCTAAAACCGAAAAGTCAACTAGCTGGAATTCGATAGGAGCCTGTCGAAAGGAATTTAACCACTTATGTGAACAAACTTTGGCAATTCAAAATTAAAAAAAAAAAATGTACGGAAAATTTCCATTAAGCTGCCTTATCAAAAAAATTAAGTGCTGAATCAAAAGAACACAATATCACAACATACCGTGAGGACTTTTCGACCACTTCCAAGCAAGTCCACCAGTTGAAACTGCTCCAATAGCAGCTCCTAAAACACCAAAATTAGCTGCATCTCTTGTGGCTTTCAGCTGAAAAAGGAACAAAAAACAGATAATGAGTTACGAATTGTGACTATATATCGATAGTTTGCCAAATCAAGCCTTAGAAAGATAAAATAACACTCTTCTATTCCATCACAAAAGTATAGCGAGCAAAATGATAAATGGCATCAATTCAAATGCAAGAAACTATTAAGTTAAACTTATATTAGAATTACATTGCAAGAACATTTTTATATACTACAGAACATTGGGTAAGCCAAGCCATCAGTTCATCACACAATGCAACGAAAATCACATCAACGAAAAAATGAAAATTACAACAAGTGCCATTCATGGATTATACACTGGTACAATACAGAGTAAAATAAAGATTGGCAAGCAAAATAAGAGATGGCCCATTAAACTTATTCGGCAACTAAATAAACAAATCGAAAAAAGAAGAAGATATTTTCAGCAAGACGAAGACCCACAAGAATTAATGAATCCCAAACCCTCACACAAATAAATAAACACCACAAAAAAATTCGAACGAATTACAGTAGGGCCATGAACGGGATCAGATGCGACGAACTCCTCGACAACAGAGCTATCCCAATGGGGCAAAGGCTTCTCGGAGATTATAAATTTCGAGTAATTGTCGAGAGATGGGAATCTCTCAGCCCAGAACTCCTTGTACCCTTCCCAGTATCTTCTGAGGAACGATTGCGATTCATGGGATTCACTCATTCTCTTACAATTTTTGTTCTCTTGAGGCTTAATCGATTGATTTTTGGAGTTACGTGAACGAAAGAGCTTTGTATGTGCGGAGTAGCTCGATAAAAATGGAGTCTTTGTTAGTGTTTTCTGGATTAATTGTGATTGTTGGGAGTAATCACCTACACCGAGGTTTTGAGACATTAAGGTAGGGACTCGCCTGAGCCAGTATTTGGCTACCACGTCACCTAGAATGAAAAAAAAATAAATAAATAAATAAATCATTGATTTATTTAATTGAATTTCTCATATCCATATATTAAAAATAAAGGTTACACAAATTTTATATTTTCAATTGAAGTATTATAATATTAATAAAATTATCAATTTCATAATATAAACAATACAATTTTATTATAAACGTATAATTAGCCAACTCGGTTATGTATTAGGCCTTCACATGAAGCGCGCTAATGTTGACACAATGGACTGGTATCGATGTTAATGGGACGTGTAGTTCATGTAGGAAAAATATAAGCCATGGCACGATATTCAACTTATGTACTTGAACGGGAGATTTAATTTTGCTTTTTTTTTTCTTCGTACACTACGAAATAGGATTGCAACCAAGGAATGTGCAAATTAAAAGCCTATAGTAGAGCGTTGGTTAACCTGACAACCAACCCAATCAACATAAGCACCAAGATCAAGTGTTGTGTAGGAAATAAGATGTAGGCTAAGGTGAATAGTACCTTTAACATAACATACGATACAACAAACAATTTTTTAGATGAGATGTGCAAAATTGATGCATAAATTGAGATGCATAGTTAACGCATGTAACCGTGACAGGGGAATCGTCGTCCTTGGACTGCACATGACCATTGCTGTTCGCAAAGAAGCACGCTTGAACTCCCCGGCAATGCAAGCGAGCCATGTATACTGCCTTCACGGCGACCTCCAATCCTTGGAATGTTTCCTCTTCAACTCCATGGATCGAATATTGGATTCCAAGGTCTTGTTGTAGTCCTGTGTAGTAGCGGCAAATATCGGCTTGTCACAATCGGCTCGTGAGGAGGACGAGCCATATAAAAAAGCTCTTTTATTATGAAAGAGAAAGAAATGAGAGAATTAAGGGAGAGAGATAGAGAGAGACAAAAAGCAAATTTTGATGTGGATTGTCTGGCAACCTTAGCTCACTCATGTCATATGGACTGCCAGAGATTACTCACTGCATGATGCTATTGGTGTCGCTCATCCACGAAATGTTACTATCTAGAGGTCTAGGCTTCAGCCCCCTTCCTTTCGNAGAAGAAGAAGAAACACAACTAAAAAAGATATAAGAAAGAGAGAGAAAAATGTGGGAAGGGTTAAGAAATCAATGAAATTATTTTCACCAAGTGTTTTGAAAAGGCGTGAAAAAAAAATCAAATAAGTGAATTTGGCTTAATAATATATAGGCGCATTAATATAAACTAGTACAGCGCCCGTGCGATGCATGGGGTGCACATTTTTAAGACTATTTATCCAGACTTATAATTATATACATGAATAAAGAAAAATATAGAGGATATATATAGTACGTGACCCGTGCAAAGCACGAGATATATTTATTTGGAGAATATTATATTATAAGATGCAATATTCAATAAAAGTTTATAATACGCAAGAAAATTGTACAATGTTCAATAAAAGTTTTATAATATTCAAGTGGAGTCTTAAAGTCTCTTGTACATTAAGACTACTGACAAAATAATATTTTAATCAATGAGTTTCCTTTCCTTGTAGCCAAATTGTGAATGTGATTTGAGGAGTACAACAAATCGATATATAGCTGAATAGCTTTTTTCATTGTAGTTTTTTTTTTATAATGAATTTAAAGATATTCTAAAATATAGCAAAATTAATTTATTTATTACAATTAGGAATTTTACTAAATATAAACTCTCAATCTATGGTGTTAATCAACGTTTAAGTCTAAAAAATTAGGAAGTTTTACCTCTTTTAATCAACATTTAAGTCTAAAAAACAATAGAGTTATTATAATTTTTTTTTCTACATCTTTTAAAACATTAAATATGAGCATGTTAGGGCTAACTTGTAAAATAATTAATATATTATCTCACTAAAACATTTATAGTAATAAAAATTTGATTTTAGCATATAAATTTATCCATTGATATAAGAGAAAGTAACAGTTTTACTTATTGTTGTTCACCATATAATATTTAATTATTATTTTATTATATAATAACAAAAAAAATTGTTAAATAGTGTAGTAGAATTGTTATAAAATTATATGATTTTTTTTTTACAATATGGATTTAATATTTTTTATGATTTGATAATATAAACAAATCTATACTTAACTTTGACAAATAAAACAAATAAATACTTTAGTAACTATTTAATGTATATACTAAATAGGAATATATTTGGTATAATCAAATACCAAATATAATCAAATAAGTCAAAGTGTACATTTTTATTTGGTATTTGATTTTTTTATTATTAAAATATTTTTATTATACTTACATTTTTAAAATAAAACAAATAAATCAATCAATTAAATAAATATAATATTATAATACCAAAATAGTAATAGCATTTAATGCAGTTGGCTTTTCTAGATAGTAAATGTAGTAAATAGAATCTCCTTTTATATAAGTATAGATTGTATAATACGGAAATAGTAATGCAATAAATGTTGTTGACTTTTATTTATACTAAATCTGGTAAATGGTATACCTTTTAATATAAGTATAGATAATTTTTTAAAATAGATAAGAGATTTCATTATTTATATTATTATTTTCTTTACCTAAATGGGCCGGCCTTATGAAGCATGGGCCATTCAACACTAGAAACTTTATGTATCCCTCCCTTGTTCTCAAATCCAATATTGGTTTGCTGACATTACTTTTATGCAAACGAAGCTCATTCATTTGGCCATAATCAATATATATCGTAGACTTCGTAGTTATTTTTCCATGCAAATGACTTAGATAAATGAATAAAGATAAAACTTTATGACTTCTTTTTTATGTCGTTCTCTTTCTACCTTCAGTTAATAGTTAATACTCCTCTTTAGGTAAATCCAATTTTTAGGTAAATGAATTCTGCAGGTGTAACACTGTCCACATCACAATCTGAGCTGTCAGATTATATCAAGGGTGAAAATTANACAATTATTTCATTGTACTCAATATTACAACAGACTAGTAATCACACCATGCACAAATATAAATAAAATATTATAAATTATATTTGACTATATTGTTAAAGTATTAGCTATTATTTTAAGAAAAAATCGCTTCTTGATATACAAACTAATAATAAATAATTTTGATTAATTTACAATATAGAGTTTGAACAAAAATATTTGTAATGTAACTTTTTTATACTTGTGTAATTTCTATATAATATTTAGTGTAAATTATTTTTAGTTGGTATGAATATTAACTATTATATAATATAATAGTAAAAAATATATGATTACACTTAATTAAAATAATTGTATCAGTTTTCTACTATAAGTAGCTAAAAGGCGGGAAACGTTACTAAATGAAGTTGAATAAAATAAAAGGAGAAAATTTGGATTAATGATAAAATTTTGTAACGTATTTTGACGAGAAACAAAAAATGTCTTTGTTATTTTCTCTGCCAGCAATTTTATATATATATATATATATATATATATATTTGCCTTTTGGGCCGGCCATTTGGAAATAATGCAATTTGCATTATAATACTATTATTATTATTATTATTATTATTTGTAATGCCCGTAGTCATTCAATTATATATTTTTCATTATTTTTATTTTTTTACATTTTCAAGTTTCTCAAAAGAGAAACATTTCCAAATATTTTTACCCATCTTGTGTGGAAACTTATGATAGTAAATGGTACTTTGTTTATTTTTGGAAAGTGGATGACTTGGTTTTAGTCTTTTATAGCACTATTCCTAGGTTGACATAAATGTGCTCAAGTGTTTTCTTTTTGAGGTTAAATAATTTTGTGGTCCTAAAATGTGGAAAATCAAAAGAATAAATAAACAATATAAATTATTTTACGAGTTGATTTAACAGTTAGACGGATAATCAGTCATACTAACTGAATAAAAATGTATATGTATACCTAGAATGCCATATTTATGTTGTTATTAAAGTATTTCGATCGGTTATAAATGAAAGTATGTAAATTAATTTGTTAAGAAATGTATTTTTGTTTTATAATTAAGCTTACATAACAGCAATCTAGCTTAACGATAATAAATCATATATCAATATTTCGTGTAACCTATGCTTATCATATATCAATATTTCATGTAACCTATGCTCAGATGTAGTATAAGTCTTGATAGGAAAATAGTGTCCAAGTATATTAATTATTTAATTGAGATTGGTTCGAAGTGAAATAAACACAACTTCGAATGCCATAATGATAGTTTCCATAAAAGTAGTGGCTGATTTACAAATTTGAAATATTGAGCATTGAATTATGGTCAAAATTTGCAACTATTTATTTCATCGCATTAACATTTAATTTCTAACGTGCACTGATGACTGATCATTCCTGTTTTCTAGGTCGTTGTTGTGTTGCATAGAAATTCCTGTCCGAAAAAATAATACACGGAAAATTGTGGGGCAAAAATGTAAAATTTAATTATTAACTTCTCAGAAGGATGGGCCAATGAGCATATGGATATCTGCGTGATCATGTCCACCAAATACTTGACTTTTGTTACGTTTTCTCCTATGATTTATATTGGATTTTTTATTGCTTGCTGTCAAATTTTCAATTATTATATATTAAAGAATAACATAAATAAAAATATGAAATTTTATAATTCTTATAAAATAAATAATATGAAGACACTGATAATACATGGAATATGTATTCAATCATTTTATTATTAAATAAGTTCATATATTGAGAGAAATAGGTTGACAGCTCATGAAAAAAATGATTAAAAGATAATTTAGGGCTATTCTATTTGTAGCTAAAGAAATTACGCCTAAACACTTCAGCTATTTTGTAATTTATATATTAATTTTGCCAATTGTATTACTTTTATCCATTTTAATCCTAAATGGAATTTGTAAAGGTGGTAACTTACGCAAAAACTGTGACATCTTTTTAGTTTTGCATACATATTAGTGTAAAAATTCCAACATCCTTGTTAATGTGTGTTACAGTGATTTGTAATATTTTTTTAATTAGATATTTTTATATAAAATAATGCACGTAAATAGCAGATGTACGTGCACAATATTAAATGAAATTATACATGTATTTTATTACGTAGTTATATTATCAATTTATTTTATAAAATAAATAATTCTTAAAAGTGATTAATTTATGTGGTATATTAAAATGAAATTATACATGTATTTTGTTACGTAGTTATATTATCAATTTATTTTATAAAACAAATAATTCTTAAAAGCGATTAATTTATGTGGTATATTAAATTTATATCGTCCAATAATACATTTATATTTCTGATTTTTATACTATTATGATTATTATTAATATAATACTCAAAGTGATTATGTGTATACACACACTATCAATATTATCGATTTTATAATATAAATATAGCCATTATATATATTATTTGGAGACATTTTTAACACAAAAAATTGAATAATTACAATTCTTTTCAATTAACTACTTTTATAATTTTGTAATTATTAATATAAATGTATTTATACAATTCTATAAAAAATGATTAATGTAATTGTTCATTTTAACTTACATTTTGCAATTTGGTTAATTTTATTACTATAAGCAAAATAGTAAATAAAAATTTCTATTGTATATATAATTTATAATATTTTTTTCATATTATACACGGTGCAAGTGCATGCACGTATGAGAATTGTTCGCTTCCTACGAAAATAAAATAAGGAAACTATCTTTTTTACGCATAAAAAATGCAACGAACAAATGTGCCAATGTTATTAATGAGACATGTATCACGCATAAGTCATAACTACCCAAATTAAGAAACGGGTCACCCCATACAAGGAAACTTCCATAACTCTATTGAAATAATTATTAATAACATCCCAAATGAAAATATTTCTACACTATTCAAAAATTTGTAATGCGGATCATATTACAATTTACAGTTTCATTTAAATCCCATTATTCTTTTTATTTTCTTGTTTTTTTTTTCCATTTCCTTTTTCTTTTTCTCTTCTTTTTTTTATTTTTATTTTTTTTTTGGTAAAGCATGTTTTTAATTATTTAATCCTCACCCTATTTTTTTCTTTTATTAGACAAAGTGAAAATTCGATATTGTACAGAATTTTAGTATACCTATCAGGTTTTTCTTCGTTGGATAAACGTTGTTCGGGAAAATCGAGGAATGTGATTGCAAATTCGGTTTATGATGGTGCATATTGTATACAATTAGAGCTGTTAAGTAAAACAACCTACTCGTGGAACTCGTTAGAGCTGTTAAGTAAAACAACCTACTCGTGTAACTCGTTTTGGCTCGAGTTGGATTTGATTAATTTATTTTATGAGTCAAACTCAATTCGGCTCGTTAATGCTTAATTTTTTTTCTAATCTTATTTTTTATAGTTTGTTTCGTTTTCAATGCTAAGCATCTCCAGTGTACTAAATGTCAATGTTAAATGTTCATGCCACATGTTTGTACTTAATTGGATAACTGATTCCTTCAATATCAGCGTTGACAGTAAGAATAGGAACAGTCAAAATTTTTCGTACAATGCACACACTTAGGGATTATGTTAAACTGATTTTTAAATGCACCACTCTTGTAATATATTGAATGAGTTTTTAGTACTTGTTATTGAAATTTTGTTAATAAATTGAACGAGTTTTTAGTAGCATTGAATAATGAGTTCTCCTAGTGAGTTTGTTATTCCATATAAATACACCAAGGTTGAGAATGTTAAATGATAACCTTAATCTGATTATTGTTATTCCATATAAATACACCAGGACTGAGAATGTTAAATGACAACCTTAATGTGTTTTAAAAATATTTAGAGACTCATTTTAAACATACTTGGAGACTCATATGTGTTCACGTATCGTTCGATCAGGTTTGGTACAATTTTTTTTTTACTAGATTTTAGTTACTTTTATTTATATATATAATAGTTATTTCTATAGAGTTATACATCTTAAATATTTACATAAATGTATGTATATATTCGAATGGATGATTATAGTTTTATCGCATCCAATCCAATGGTATTACTAGTTTTGTCTATTACATTACTGTGTAAATATTCGACACATTATTTGTAAATATTTACAACTGCTGATTTCCATCTCCAATGCATATTTTCATTCTTGCATATATTTATTTTAAAATATATAAAATAAAATAATAAAGTAGTTTTTATAAGACTAATAAACAAAATAAAATGATAAATTAATTTTTAAAAAACTAACTAAATTCACTGGATAAAACATATTAACAAAACATACGTAACACTTAATTTTTTTTTTAAGAAATATTTCAAGCACAAAACATATCAACACACCAACAAAAGATCATTTGAAAAAAAAAAATAATAAAATTGAAATACGAGAAACTACAATTTATATTATTTCAAATTAAAAAAAAATTACTTTTATCTCCACAAAATAAAATAAACAATAATATAGTTTAATTTTTTAAAATGTTGAAAGTGTAATTACTAAAACAAATATTAAAATTAAAATTTTAATTACTAGATTAATTATTTTGAATTTAAAAAGATGATTTTATCTATAAAAAATAAAATAAATTATATTAGTGATTTTTTCTCAATTTTTAGTTGTTTCGTTGATGAGTTGTCCTGTTGAAACTTTCTATGAGTAGACAATAGCCTTAACGAGCTTAACATGTCTACACATATCTACTTTTTCTCCTGTTTTCATTGGAGATGCTCTAAAGTTTAACTCAAACTCAAATCCACATATACAACCTTCCAGAACAGGTCAGTGCCCACGTGTATGCCACGTCATCTCTTCTCCTTTTCCACTATAATAAAACGCAGAGACCTCGACTCCAAATTTCTCTCTCAAATCTCTCTGAACTTTCTCTTTTTCCATGAAAAAATCTGCAGATTCACTGTCTCTCTCTCATCGCCATTAAAGGTGAAACCTTGACAGTTTGCCTCTCCTCGCAAGTCGCAACTAACCCTTCACATGTTTTTTGCCTCCTTTTTTTTTCCCCTCTGCAACTTTGAAAATCGAAGACCCAAACTTTTTCACGAAGAGGGCTCTAATTTGCATGCCCCTCAGTATTTTTTTTTTTTAAAAAAAGCAAGAAAGTCCTACATTAATATACGGGTACGTTCAAAATATTCTTCTTTTTGAAACCACTTCCTTTTTTACTGTTTTTTTTTGTGTCTTTTGAAAAAAAAAAAGGAGCGCATTGGAACAATCTTTGAACAGTTGCTTGTGCAGTTTTTGCCTTTAGATCTGTTGATGTTTTATGGGTTTTCGATTTTGGAGTGATTATTGGGATTTGCTTTCTTCTGGTTTTCCAATTTGGCATTCAGTACACTGAATAGCATAATAAGTATTATCATTATTATTACCAAAATCAAGAAACAGAAAAATTAGATCTAAAATTGAAGAATGCCGAGGAAAAATTCGAATTTGGATGGGAAAATTGGAGGAAGGAAAAAATGCAGAGTGAGAAAAAGGGGTTGCTCCTCATCATCTTCATCTTCACTGCATAAAAAATGTCGATTAAAGCGGGCTTTTGTGGTGGGGAAAAAGACGGGCTCTAGCACTCCTGTGCCGAAATGGAAATCGATGGGCTCACCGGAAAATGATGGGCCGTTGAAGCTTTTAGCGGCCTCAAATGGCGGGCAAAGGGCTGAGGAGGGATTATCGGTCTCGGCCCGGAAGCTGGCGGCCACTCTTTGGGAGATCGATGGCTTGCTGAAGAAGGGAGAGAATTCGAGTGAGGAAGTTTGTGAAGTTGGATTTTTCAGAAAAGAAAAGAATTTCGAGCATTCAAAATTGGGATCAAAGGCTCTTGCTTTGAATGATCTAATATCATATAGTCCTGTTTCTGAGGTGGNCAGAAGTGGGAAGCCATAGAAGAAGAGCATCAGCCGGTTCTCATAAAACAATGCACACTGATTGTCATTTGGGAGTTGGCAATTCTATCCATGATTGCTTGGTGGAGGTATTTTTTGTGAAAAATTGTTAAGTACACTATTTTTTTTTATTTTCCTTTTTTTTTCTGTTAAAATGAGCTTTCTCCAAATATTTTGAGCATCTAATTTTGTACGAGGCGGCCTAATCGTTAATAAACAGATCGGCTAATCATATTTTTTTTTTAACAAAAATGCATACTTATACTACTACGAGATGCCATATTTTTGTTTATATTTTTTTTAGAGAGTGACATTTCAATTTGAAAGTATGTATACCTGTTGAAAAAGTATGATTATCTAATTTTTACATTATCTAACAAGTAACAACAACAATTATAAAATACATGGATTATGGATGGAAAATTTTATTCATAAAAGAAGCTATGTTATTGTATATTCTTTTTCTTTATTCTATTTCTTACTATTGAGTATCTAGCTTAATGAAAGGTTTCAACTTTTATTGTCCTTTTCCTAAATTTGTTTGTTTTTATTGATCTTTATATGCTATTATTGCTTTTTGGAGTAACCCTTGATTAGAAATGGACAAAAAAAATGCTCTGTTAATAGGTTGTTAATAGGTTGGTTGGGGGCAAAGAACATGGTTTGGTTCTCTTATGGGCTACCATCAAACCCAACATGCCCATATAATTGTCTCCTTATAGTTGTCAAACTATACACCTTTTTTAATACAACTTATTGTGTTATTTCAAGAACTTTAAACACTAAATTGAGGTTGATCACTTGCAGAATCCGGCCCGAAGCCCGTATAAAAACCGTTTGAAGGATATTCACAATGGGCTCATGACCTCCAAAGAATTACTCAAAGTGATGGCCCGAGTTTCTCGTCTCGACCACCACAACTCAACGGGCCTATCTCTCTTCTCGGCCCTCAAATTCGAGGTCGACCGCGCTTTTTCCCATGTCGTCAAGTTAAGCCAAGAACAAAAGCAAAAACAAACCGATATCGAAGCTTTATGCAAACACTTTCAAGAGGAAAAAAAATCTCTCTGGAATAAATTAAGGCAACAACAGGACAAAACTCGTATGGAGCTCGATAAAGAAAAGAAGTATCGGCTACAAACCGAAAGACTCAACACGAAACTCGGGAGAGACTTATCCGAGACCAAAGAGTTGCTTCTGAAAGCGAATAAGGAGCTCGAGGGCGAAAAACGGGCCCGCTTGATGCTCGAGCGAGTTTGTGATGAGCTGGCGCGGGAGGTCGAGGAACTAAAGAGGCAATCGGGTAGAGTTTGTGAAGAAATCGAGAAAGAGCGGGAAATGTTCCAATTGGCCGATATTCTTCGTGAGGAGAGGGTTCGGATGAAGCTATCGGAGGCTAAGTATCAATTCGAGGAGAAAAACGCGATAGTCGACAAGTTGAGGGGCGAGCTCGAGTCCTATTTGAATAAGTCGAAAAAATGTGAAGAGAATGGATCATCACCAAGATATGACAAGATTAAGGAGCTCGAGAAATATTTACGAGAGACTTTGCCGTGCACTTACGAATACGAAGAAGATGGAGTGAAAAATGATATTGGGATAGTAAATAAAGTCGAGGAGGAAGATGAAGATGATTGTGACTCTGACGATAGCGATCTCCACTCGATCGAGCTAAGTGTTGATGATGACATCAGCGAGAATTTAGATGCTTTCGAGCAAAAGGGTCGTTTTGAATTCGCGTCACGAGCTTGGAAAAAGGAGGTGGTGGTGGACGAGATCGAGAGGTACAACATGATTAAGGATCTAAGGGACCATATCGTTTTGGGATCTAAGATGGGTTCGTCTCAAGACTCGGTTAGTCCATGCCAGAACGAGTTGGCTCAGATTACTCGGTGTTCGAAGGATCCTAATGGGGTGGCATGTCAAGGCTAGAAATTTCTCTCTCTCTCTCTTTTTTTTTTTTCTTCATATTTTAGCTTGCATGAAGCAAATTTGTTTTTTCTATAGCATACATAAAAAGTCTGTATTGTATAAATTATGATACTACATTATGCAAGCAATCAAGGTGTAATAAATGCTCTATAATTTTACTTGTATAGTATTTATTAAAAACTTGAATGTTCTTGGATCTCTTTCCACAAACCACAACAAGATTTTAGTGTTACATATAGAAAAACAAAGAAAAAACAAATAAAAGAGATGGTTGTTTTGATATGGTGTTTGTTGATGGTGTTTGTTATAGTTTGGGGATGTATTTAATTTTTAATTTTAAAAAGACAACTAGAATCTCTTGCCTATTATATTAAATTAAATTTGATAATTACTTGTAATTTCTAAAGTGCGAATAAATATGAAAAGTTGGAAACTGAATCTAAAAGTGGAGAAAAATGTAGTGATGTAATGTTCTGGTAATCTGGTACATGAACTAATTTTGGCGGGTCCAATGTCATTTAATCATACGTCATAATACTTTTTAATTAATGCATTTTTCGCGTGTGAAAACGATTGCAAGTGTTATTTTCAAGATATTGTCTAGGTAACTAAATGCAGCCTTAAAGGAATTAATTGGATTTTGAATGAACTGTTTTAAGTCTCCCCATTTAATGTGCATTTGAGATCCTTCACAATGATTCATTGTAAATTCTGGTGTGAAATTGTCTAGACATTGGATTAGTGGATGTGATATACTTTTTGAATTATAATGCTCACTTATATTATACGTATGAAATATTTGATGTACTTTTTAAACAAAAATGCTCACTTATATGTATGAAATTTTGTACTTTTATTTATGTTATTTTTTGAAAATATGATGTTTTAATGTAAAAACAAGTATATTTATTGAAAAAAGTTGATTCAACCGATTATGCCTGAGTAGGCCTATAAACGAGCCGAGTCAAGCCGAGTTGAACTCGAGCTTAAGGTGCTCGAGCTCGAGCACTTGACGAGCCGAGTCAAGTTTGGCGCATTAAAAAACGAGCCTAAAATCAAGCCCGAGCTCGACTCGTTTATCACTAATAACGAGCCGAGTTCGAGTCTTAACTAGCTGATCTCGAGCTTGAACGAGTCGAAATACAGAAATTATATAAAAGTTCTCTTTTCGAGCCTTAACGAGCCGAGCCGAGCGAGCTCGACTCGTTAATCAAAATGAGCTCAAGCTCAACTAGTTTATCAAACGAGCCAAGTCGAACTCGAGTCTGACTCGTTTAATGCCTGAGTAGCCATACAAGTATATCTATTGAAAAAGGATTATTTAACCGGTTATACCTGATTTAACCGGTTACTATGATGATGATTCATATGAGAAAAGGCATATTCAAGATAAACCTCCAAGAATCAGAACTTTCAAGAGCTATCACAAGGAAATAGAATAAATTAAATTAAATAAAATTAAAATAAAACAAGTAGTCATCCCATCACCACAATCTTTGAACCCATCAAAGTTTGTTGGGTTTTCTCAACAATATGCATATGAAAGAGAAGTGGTTTGACAACACAAAAATAAATAAATAAATAAAAAATAATGTTGTAGCTTGTAGGGGTCATGTCCCAAACAATTCCCTTGCAATTATGATAATATGTCCTGGATTATTTAGACCACATGCATGCACTCATATAGTCATATCATTGCCAACTACAGCTGGAAGCTAATGCTATGTAAGCTTGGAAAAAAATATATCAACAATTTTTTCTAAGACTCCAAAAACTCTGAATTTACATACACAGAGGGCTATAAGCTTGGAAAAATTAATAAAAATCTAAAAGAAAAGAAAAAACAAACATTTGATACGAATCACGAATCAACAATTCCGCCTATAGTAAACCAAGAAACAATATAGCTGGCCACTTAAATACAGAGGACATTCAGATATCATTTACAGATCACATGTGCATTATAAGTTAAAAGCTTTTGTCTGTATGCATCAATTCAAAGAGAGAAGACTCGAAAAGGATTATTAAAAGGCGATTATTGATAAATTAGAAACAAACGAGAAAGGATAAGTCTACCGACCTGAAGAAACTTGAAAAGTTAACGAGCATTTTGTTGGACGACCCCACGAATGCAGTTTGTCTGTTAAGAAAGAGTCTGCATCACTTTTTCGGAGCTTTCTGCTTTTCCTGTTAGTCTCATCAAATTGTGCAGAAAACAAGTCAATGAGAAAAAACTACATCAGAATTGAAAACAATCCACTATACAGATACATGCACCTAAGACTAGTGGGAAAATCATCATTAGAAGTTAGCTAGAAACAAATTAAAAGAAGGCAGAAATTCAAAATTGATCCAGTAACATTGGGTACATATCATTTGTAGTCCACTAACTTAAAGGGTAGCGATTTTGGTCCCCTAACTAAATTCCTTTTGCGATTTTGATCCAATTTAGTAAATCTTATTCTCTAAAGATTAGAAATAAGTTTGAAGATGAGCCAAGAATCAGAAGCAAAACCAATTTGTGCAGTGAACAAACAACTTTTGCAGCAAAACCAAGAATCAGCCTACAAATAGCATTACACCTCAATCACCAATAATCACGGCACGAACACCTTCCCGACTCGAAACAATGAAATCGACTCGAATCCCTCACAATTATTTTCCTATCGGCAATTATGGAGATGAACTTAATCGCCGTATGGCAATCCACGCAAGTCCTTAGGTTCTTGAAAACCTTAATCAAGGTACGCGGTCGAGAACTTATGATACCAAATGCCACCGCTAGTTTTTCGCTATGGTACGATAAATTTTCCTCCTTTTGCTCTTCCTCCACGTCATGCAACACATAGTTCGTGTGAGGCACATAACCTTCTTCCTTCATTCTCTTTGACACTTTCTCCAAAAAATCGAATATTTCTTTGGATTTCGGGTGGGATTGGTCCCCGACCACAAAAACATGAACCTTCTTCTCGACACCAATCCAACTCATGCCGGGTTTCTTCACGACTCGATTCTCGTCCATTAATTTTCTAATTTTAGCAACATCGCCCCATTTTCCGGCACTTGCATAAGTATTTGCTAGAGTCACGTAAGTAGCCGCATTTTCTGGCTCAATTTGGAATAAAACTTCAGCCGCACGTTCGGCAAGTCTGTAATTCCCATGAATTCGGCATCCACCAAGCAAAGAAGCCCACAAGAACTTGTCCGGTTTCATGGGCATTTGGTCGATAATATCCTCAGCTTCTTGAAATCTACCCGAACGACTCAAGAGATCAACCACACAAGCATAGTGGTCAGCAGTTTGGCTCAATCCATATATATCCTTAATCGAGTAGAAAATTTCAAGACCCTTATCAACTAAACCTGCGTGCGTACATGCTGATAAAACACCAACAAAAGTCACATGGTCAGGCTTATTACCGGATTTGAGTAATTTGTCAAACAGCTTTAAAGCTTCATGGGGCTGACCATTTTGGGCATACCCATTGATCAAAGATGTGTATGAAACTAAATCGGGATTAGGAAGCCACTCGAACACTCTATGTGCTCTTTCTACACTACCACATTTTGTATACATGTGAACAAGTGCACTTGCTGCAAACGAATGGGGATTAAAACCTGTGCGAATCATGTGGCTGTGGATCTGCCGGCCTAATTCCTCGGCCGTTTGTTGGGCGCACGCATTTAGAATACCAGAAAATGTGAACTCGTTCGGCTTGATCCCTGTATTTAAAAATTCAGAAAATAAAGAAAACCCTTCTTCCCACTTTCCATCCCCAAAATACCGATCGATCATTGATGTCCAGGACACAACGTCCTTCCCTGAAGTTCTGTCAAAAATGTATCTTGCTTCATTCAAGCTCCCGCATTTTCCGTACAAATCAAATAAAGCACTCCAAACTACAGCATCAGAATCGAGGCCTGTTCTCACTATACGTCCATGAATCTCCTTTCCCAAACGCAAAGACTGCACAGAAGCTGAGGCTGATAAAACACTGGAAACAGTGAACTTGTTGTTGCACACGTGACTCTCGTTTGTCTGCATCAGCCGATACAGCTCCAATGCATTTTCTGGCTGTTTGTGCTTCACGTAGGCTGAAATCATAGCCGTCCATGAGAAGTTATCTCTCTCAGGCATTTCATCAAACAGCTTTCTCGCTTCTGAAACCCGGCCTGCTTTCGCATACCCAGATATCAACGTGTTCCAAGAACACAAGTCTCTTTCTGGCATTTCATCAAACAGCTTCTGGGCATCTGATATGCTCTGGCATTTACAATACAAATCCAGAACCTTGTTCGAGATGAAAATCCCGGGCACGAAACCAGAGCTTTCCATTTGGGCATGGACGCGTTTGCCATCATCCAGAGCTCTCTTTTCAATAGACAGCTGCAAAACCGTCTTGTATAGAGATGCAGATGGGTTGTGCAGCTTGTTGTTTTCGAGTAAATTAATGGCGTCTTTCAAGCGCTTTTGTCGGCAGAGGTGAAAGATGGTATCTTGGAACTTATTGTCCTCCCTCGAGCGGTTTATGAGCTGGTGAGCGTTTTCCGATTGAATTGGATGCAATTGAGAGGAAAGTGAAGAGGAAAGACGAGCAGAGAGAAAAGAGAAGGATTTTGTCAGATTCACTGGCTTTGGTTTCATTGCTATAAAAGAGGCCCTCAGTTGATGGGAGCAAATGAAATCAGTAGCATTGTGAATCAAGCAAATCAAATGGTACATGAAAATGAACAAAATGGATTCTATACATTATAAGGGCGTGTTTGGATACAAATAAACCAAATTTGACTGTTTTTTTTTTATTATTATATTTAATTTTGAAAAAGTTGATTTGGTTAACTTTTAGTGAGATATTAAAATATATTTAAAATAAAATAATTAAAATTGATTTTGATGTAAAAATAAGAGAGAGATGGTGTGAAGTAATGTTTATTTAAAATTATGTGAGTGAATGAATAATGAATTAAAATTGATGTGACGTGTAAGAATGTTTAATTGATATTATTTAATTATCTTAATAATATTGAGAATAGCGGAGTAAAGTTAAAATTGAGTTAACTTTGAGTATGAATCGAGAATGAGTATAATTTTGTTGATAAACAAACACCCTCTAAAACATCCTTATAGGGGTGTACATAGAACCAGTCGAGTCAGTAATCAAGCTCGAACTCATGGTACTCGAGCTCGAGTCTAGTTTAGTCAGCAGTCAAACTCCAACTTGTCTCGTTTATCGTTATTAGCGAGTCAAATTAAAAAATATTGTATAAAATTTAATTATTTTTAAGTTTTAACGAATTCAAGTCGTTAACTAAAGGAGCTTGAGCTCCCGATCAGAGTTCATGCTCCGCAGTTCTCATCTAATAACTGTAAAATTGTGAGTGTATCGAGTAGTAGGTAAATAATTTATGGAAAAAATAAATGAATGAACAAATACTATTACAAAATAAATAACTTTTAGTTTTTATATTTAATACGGAAAATATGGTAGATATGTGATAATCTATATTTTGGCCAAACTGCTAAGGGCGTGCTTGTTTATAAATTAATCAGCTCAAAATGAGTTTTTTTGTTAACCAGAGTTAATTTTGAAAAATGTGGTATGATTAGCTGTTACTGAGATTTTGGGTTTATATTAAAATAATATTTAAAATAAAATAAATAAAGTTGATTTGATGTGAAAGTATGAAAAAAATGATGATTAGCTAAAATTATGTGAGTGGATGAATAGAGAATTAAAATTGATGTGATGTGTTGATTGGTCTGTATTATGTAAGAATATGAATAATATTAAGAATAGTGGAGTTGTATTAAAGTTGAGTTATATTTTGAGTATGGATTAAATGTGAATGAGATATTTTGTAAACAATCATTCCCTAAATATTATTAAGATTTTATATTATAAATTTATATAAAAATATTTCATTTTTATTATTATATATTATCATAAGATAGAAATAATATAAATATAATTTAAATTTTATAGAATTAATTATTCGATTCAACGCAATTACTAGTCGGATTTAAAACTATTTAAAAACAATTTTAAAACTATTTTAATCTGATCTATTCTTCGGCAAGCAGCTGATTTACTGGTCAAGAAAAAAATAGACGAAACGTCATAGCTACGTGGCTACTTATCTACCGCTCATTCTATCATTTATTTAATGAGGTGGCAACCAAATTACTTTGTTGAGTGTGTTCAGGAATATGAGAAAAAGGAAAAAAAAAAATGTTGCGCTTTTTTATTCATTTATTTTCTAATAAAAATAAAAATGGAGAGCCTCTCGAACAACGACACCCATCTTACGTTGCTGGCCTCCGACATCATTTGCATGCGAGACATGTAGCCGTACGGACACGTGTCACCTCCAAAACCCTCACATTATTCACACTGTCTCACAGTAATAAAATATAAACAAAAAAAAATGCAAAACCCTCTTAGTATATATCACCTTACCATATGCCCCTTTCCTTCACCAACCAACATTTAGCTCTTTTTTTCTCTCAACATTATCAACAACTTAGAGTTGCCAAATAAGGGTTTTCATTCTTGTTTTTCTTTTCCTCAAAAAAAAAAATAAAAATAAATAAATAAATAAAATAAGTAATAAAAAAAATGGTTGATAAAACAAACATAGCTTCTTCTTCGAGGAACCCGGGTCGAATCTCCATGGAGCTCTCGATTTCCGATGCTTGCAACATGTTTCCCGGGTTTAAGTTTTCACCAACCGACGAGGAGTTGATTCAGTACTATCTGAAGAAGAAGTTACANTTGGTAGTGGGGTAGATTTTATGGCTCTTTATAAAAATTGTTTGGTTCTAGAGTAAAGTGGTGTGAAGATCTAGACAGTAATAGAAGATAAATTTGAAGTTTTTGCCAAACAAATAAAATTTCAATGGAAGTATAAATTTGATTTGACGAAAATTAAATAGGATGGTGGCCATGTGAATATGTGACAAGTTGATATTTCAAATTGACATTTTTTCAAAATGTTCTAGGAAGTTAATGAAGATGGTGGGGCCTCCTTTTCTTGTACCGAACAAAAAAAAAATGTTTTGGGTTGAAAAAAAAATAGAAAATTCCTTTATTAGATATTCATAAAAAGTGTGATGGCTAAGTTTGTTTTTTTTAATGCTTATATTCACTCTATCCATGGTTTTCAAAAGTATGTTATCCTTAGAAGCTAAGAGCATGTTTGTGTATGAAATTTTTTTTAAAAAATTTCCAACATTTTTAACTCTAGTCACTTTCTTTAACTCAACCCTATTTTTGTCAATATTATAAATATAATTAAATAATATCAATCAATCATTCATACACACCATATGCTTAATTCACTATTCGTCCAATCACATTATTTTAATTAATCATCACTTCAATCACCTTTCTCCTACTTTTACATTAAATAAATTTTAATTATTTTATTTTAAATATTATTTTAATATACCCCCTAACAACTAACAACACCACCTTTTTCAAAATTAACCAAACCAAATTAAAAAATCCAAACAAAACCAAAAATTTCCATAAACAAATGTGCTCTAACATTTCTTTTTTCCTTTTAACAAATGAAATCAGATCAGGCAATCATTCGATCAGATTATGAGTGGTTCTTTTTTTGTCATCGAGGAAAGAAGTATCCAAATGGTTCTCAGAGTAGAAGAGCAACTCAAGCGGGTTATTGGAAGGCGACTGGCAAAGAAAGAGACGTGAAATGGGGTTTAAATTTAATTGGTACAAAGAGAACTCTTGTATTTCATCTCGGTCGAGCACCCACAGCACAGAGAACCCAATGGTTAATGCAAGAATATACTACCAATGATAAAATCGAGGTACGTACGTAATTCACTTCCTAATAGTAATCAAGAATAAAAAATATTAATCTAACCAAATATATATTTTTCATAAATGTTCACATTTTTGTTTAATTTGATTGTATGTAGGAGGGAATGGTCATTTGTCGAATACGAAAAAATAAAGATTTTCATCTACACGACACTACTAAGAAAAAAAATCGAGCTGCATCAGGCAGCGAAAATTCAGATGTACCTGAAATGAACTACCTAATTGATAGTGGTAGCAGTTTCTCTGTTGACAAGATGGAAACAAGTTCTGATAAAGTTGTTGGTGAAGGTGACGGTGAAGATACAAGTGATGAAGATAAAGGTGCTAATGATAATGATGCTATTCATGAGTCAAATAACAAAAATATTCCTCCACCACCAGAGTCGATAAATTTGAACAAGGTAAACTTTATTTGACATTCGATATAGTATATTTGATTTTTATTTCCTTTTTATTTTATACTTTGGTTGCAGAATGATGCTGCGAACAACGATTGCTATGGTGATATAATGCGTCACGATATAGTTAAACTGGATGAAAATGTTGGACTTGGAGTAGTGATAAAACCGAACTATGAGTTTACTCCTGTTGCAGGATATGATAATTGTTGCGATGGTATAATAATGACAGATGATACATTCAGACTGGATGAATATGTGGAACCAATCTCTGATGTGGGAGGATTGATACCAATTCCTAAGTTGAATTATCCATCAGTAGAAGAAGAAGAAGAAGGATTGATAGAACCAAATCCTGAGTCGAGTTGTTATCCGTTTCAAGGAACCGCACATCGCCGACTGAGGCTTCAAAGGGAAAGATCAAAAGTTTATCAGAGACCACGTAAACTACCTAGTGGACTAGCAAAAATGTGGGAAAAACAAAAAATGGAATGTTCACATATAGAGTCCGCTGCAGAGTCCCATAATAAACTATATAAATATTATGCTATGATAATTTTTATATGTTTGTTAATACTTTCAGTGATAATAATAATGTGGTGGAAGTGAGATGATAATAATGTGTTGCAAGTGGCAAAACGAGGTAGAGTACGTTTTATATTTTTGTCCATATATAGTTTTGTTAATAGTGTGTGTAGGAATAATGTGTTGTAACTTTTTTTAATATTTTTGTTAATAGTATGTGTAGTAACAATGTTTTGTTAGTAACGTTAACGGTGTGTGAAAAGATAAATTTGTGTATGCTTTGTAAATTTTATATTTTGTTGATAATTTTTGGTAATAGTAATGTTGTGCAAGTGAGAGAGTCAGGAGAGTCTTGTTTTATATTTTTGTTAATAATTTTGTCGATGAAATTAATATATAGTACAGAAAATAGTATAGAGTAAGAAGAGAGAGTTTTATACTTCATAGTATTTTTTTTTTAAACAAAACAGAGCATAATCTTTGCTATAATTTGAAGAAAAAAAAAAAATCAGAGTTAGTGAAAAAACATGACAAAGCATTTTATATTTGTTGGAAACACATCGTTTGCAGTTTTGTATAAATAATTTGACAATTCGGCAACAACGATTTTATTTTTGTTAATGGAGAAAGACAGGAAATTTTAGTTTGGTTAACTATGAATAAATGGAGATTAAACAATCTTGCATTTATTACTAATGTTGCTGAAATGAAAATAATATATTTTGGACACTCCAAAGTGTGTTGAATCAAGAATACACAGTAAACGCCTTTATTATGGGCGCGGCAAGCCGACACAATAGGGATTGCAATCCGAAGAGCTTTGCTTGGAGAAGTAGAAGGAACATGTATCACACGTGTAAAATCTGAGAACGTAACTCACGAATATTCTACTATAGCGGGTATTCAAGAATCGGTCCACGAAATTTTAATGAATTTGAAAGAAATTGTATTGAGAAGTAATCTATATGGGACTTCTGAGGCGTTTATTTGTGTAAGGTCCTAGATGTGTAACTGCTCGAGATATCATCTAGAAATCGTCGACGATATACAATAGCTAACTTGACAGAACCAATTAATTTGTCTATTGGATTAGAAATCAATAGAAATGGGCAAAAAATGCCACCTACCGTTCAAGGTGGAAGTTATCCTACAAATGTTGTATTCACGCCTGTTCGAGATGTCAGTATTCATCACTATGAGAGTGGGAATGAAAAAAAAAGAGATATTGTTTCTCGAAATATGGACAAATTCATGTGTACGTTGGATGTTAAAAAAAGAGTTTTGATATGATCCATATAAAATAATTTAATAATGTAATATATTTAAATATTATAATTTGTATTTAAACTTTGAGTACAAGACAATATATATTTTATAACACATGCATTTTGAAAATTATAGTTTTGAGTTTAGAAGTTTGATATTAATGAACCGTGGAGATTAACATACGATAACCTTTTCGCTACCATATTCTAGGTGAATATATATGCATTGGTATTAGTATATTTTGGAAATGCACCTCTTAATTTTAATTTTTTCTTAAGAAAAAAATCTTATTCTTATCGATACTTTTTTCCATTCTTATGTAATTGGACTGGATATCCAAAAATATTTCCGTATAAATATTCTTGTAGAAGTTTCTATTTAGTACTAGAGTTTAACCACCAAGTTCGGATGAATATATTGGTGTGTTCCTCTACGCCTCTATTAGAACATCAAAATAACATATGAAGTATGAGAAAAATTATGACGATGCTTAATGCAGAATTAAATAGAATTACTTAGCCTAAAATAACTAAAATTAGTAATATAAAGTGTATTTAATCCTCAAATTTACGCTTTATATATGTGTGCGCTAAAATTGATACAAACAATTATTTAAACGTTTAATATATAATTTGATTAAGATATACAAGCATACTATGTTTTATTAAGATAAATACAAGCATACATTAGTAGACCATAACTGAGATTTGGAATAGAATACAATCAACATGAGTTATTATCTATTCTTTCTTTAAACATTCTCTTTATACATTTGTGCAATGCAATAGTATATGTGGGTTCACTTGTGTTGTCAACCTAGTTGTACACTAAGTTGACAATGTATCATTTTCCTAAGTAATAACTAGTATTTGATCTCGTGCACATGCACAAATATTTAAATTATTATAACCTATAAGTCACGTATATGTGTATAATTGTAAGATTATGAGTTAAATAATAGTATTATATTTTAAAATTTTTGTCATTAATAAAAATGAACACCATAAAAGTATTCAAACTCATCACTATATTTATTGTATAAATAAAATAAATAATTATTTTTCATTAAATTCAACTAATATTGTGTACAATCTTGCATGAAAAATTTGAATTTGAACGAGCTGGTGTAAAGATCTCTGTTACAAAAGATGACTTTTCTTATATATATTTTAAATTGTATCTATAACATATCAATACTTAATGGAGTATTTCTTTTGCATGTGAATAGTCAACATACAAATTAAAAATATATTTTTAACCACATGCAACCATTACAAACCTAAAATATAGTAAAAAATAGTGGATGATTGTATGGAATAAATTAAAAGAAAAAAAATATGTTGTAACGATTTTCGGATAGAGGTCATAAATTTTTTTATTAAATGAACTCTTATTTTTATAAAATCATACTGGAATAAAATAAAATAAAATTTGCTAGCAATTATATAGATATAGATGATCGTGTAGTTTAAGTTTAACGATGATTTTATATAAACAAGATGTTTAGATAAAAAATTTGATACATGCATCATCAATTTTTTTTAGATATTTAAAATCCGTATCACCTCACAATTTAAAAAAAAAAATAATAAATAAATTATGAGATTTCACGTATANAATATTTTAATAAACTACTCATAATTATTTTGTTTCACATCACTTTAGATATAAATTAATATTTTAATAAACTACTCATAATTATTTTAATAATATTTAGAATTTTTTCTTAATTAACATCTTTTCTTGAATTAAATTATAATTTAGTATTTTTGTTTTTCTTATTTTCTTTTCTTTATATCTGTGCAAATGCACATGTTGATTATTAGTTAGGGATAATTAGTCAGTTGACAAGGGTTACTACATAACATAGATCTATATATTCTGATGCCTGATGGCAGTTAGGACTGTTTTAATATGGGGATTTAATTGGTCCATTGAAAGTAATATTAACCAAATGAAGCCTTAATATCCCAGTTGTGGTTGCAAATATTTACTAAGTAGAATTTTCATTTTTTTCCAGCAAACTTCTTGTGATTGTACCCTCTAGAATTAATACATATTTATTTTATTATCTGGCTTCAAATTTTAAATAATCATTTTCTACCACAACTCTTTATTACAATTTAATTCACATTCCAGTTTTTCCCATGCATTCAATCTACAGTTCATAATTGCTATTATTCAATTACATGCCTCCACTCCAGTTGTATCCATAATTAATTCTGAAATTAAAGAAAATTCATGCCCCTTCATTTCTCCAACATATTTTGCTCGAGCCTTTTGAGGCCATAAAAATTGAAATCACAAAGAACTTCTGAATATTAATCTTTCCAAAAAAATTTTTTTTCATAATTCAGTTTTGTACTTATTTTATTTTTTCAAAAAAGGAAAGGAAAAAAACTGCAGCTTGTAAGAATAAATTACAAAGATGGAAGCCCAAAACTAGAGCTGATCAAGCTCAACTTATCTCCAATGTGGGCCCACAAATCGGGCTCGTGCACCGAGATATCATCGAGAAGCTCGTGTGTGTCCCCAGAGGTGAGCACGGATGACACAAAATTTCATTTCCACTTTACAAATTGAATTAAATTATCTCTATCTCTTGCCTTGTAACCTCAATACCCAAGCTATTCGAAATTGCCGATATGCCACTTCTAGCTTCCACAAGAGCATTCATTGTTGCTAAGAAAACGAGGATAAAAATATCCACGACAAATTCGTGACGATTTGCATATTTGTCAGATGTATTTTGCACTTGCTAACTTGGTGCATTGTTATATTCATATGGATTTGAGGCCTCCATCATTCAAATCCCTGTATCCCAATGAAACTTGGCCATATCTCATTTCTCATAACTTTATGCATATTATCAAAGAGAGAAACTTTTATTTTTTCCAACCACAATAATCATACGACCACCGTACAATAATAAGCAATGGAAAAAGATAATGAGCTCTCAATTCAATCTTATTTTCAGCCCCCATCATCTTACAAACATTATTCATGTGTTCAAAAATGAATATTATAAATAGGATCAAGGGATAGAACTTCCATAAATATATTTATTCAACATTTTTTTTTCCAAAAAAAAAAAAAAA